ATTTTTTTACCACGCTCATTCTTTTGTTACCCTTAGCACGAACCAATATCGAATTCGAATAGTTTGCGATTGCGAAATGTCATTGTCAAATTATGTATGGAAACTTGAACAGCGCCACAACGGACGTAACGAGAACTAAAAATCAGTACACATTTAAAGTATAAAATAGATCGAATTCGTATAAAATAGATCGAATTCAATTATTCGAATTCGATAATGGTTCGTGTTATGGGTACGGTTCTTATCTATCACTGTAATCGTAGTTGCGTATGGCTTCATTCACGCTTATTATTATTGTTCGAAATATGTTTATGTAAATTCCATTGTATTTGTAATGGACTGAATGGATGGATTTCCTTACCAAATGGTCGGACAATTAAAGTCGTAATTAATAGGTACTCTACAGATGCTTCTCGAGCCAGATTCGGCTATACACTGACTTATGTCGAATTTTCAATTTTAAAAGCAAAGGTCAAAATGCAATGAGGATTTTTCTCAGCCGGTTGATATTTCAAATTTGTGCATTAAACGGTTTGTTTAATTTTTAATGTGCACAGACAAGCCACAGCATTTCGTGTCTAACAACAGTATATCCGAGAAAATGTAAGAATAACACTTTTTAAATCAAGAGTTGCAGCTTTGAGGCATGCATACACTATAATAGGCCTTATTTCAATTCAACCTTACTTTAAGATCTCGAAGATCGCTGTTTCGAAAAACCTTGTTGAGAACTTCTAGCGGAATTATCGTGGGATATTAGTAGCAAATAGAATAATAGCGATCAAGTGGATCAAGTATTAAATTAATCGAATTAACACATGGTGAGAAAGCATGAAAAGTAATTGATGAAAGAAATTTATAGTTCAAGTGTGTTCAAGAAATGTTGGGAATGGTTGTCTGGTTAGAGCTCGCAAAGATCAAGTCAGTGATCATCTGAAAAAGGGCTGCTTATATTGAAATGAAAATAAATTTATTTCAAGATCACTTCTTAAAAGCGCTTTTGCATCGTCCTTAAATAAATCCTTCCAGCTGTTCAGGACATCTTTTATTATAAGTAATAAAAACAGACGGACGCGTCAGACCTGTAGCAACAAAAAGGAACTCAATTCTCTCTCTACCTCCTCCTCTGAGAAACAGCAGCAAATAGAATAATAGCGATAAAGTAATTTTATTGGGGAGTATTTTACGGCAGGGCTTGATTAAATCAGAAAATGGCAGAACAAATTTTGATAAAATCTGGTACTCATATTGTTTATTACCTGAATTGAGACATAGGAAAATTTTGATTCCGAGAAAAGTGAGGTTTCTGAGGAATTCTTAAATAACTAAAGTTTACGTGAACGAAATCGCGGGCAGCCGCTAGTACTATTATAAATGTATAGTATTCAAAGGTAAAAATTGGTAATTATTTATTGCCTATACACGAAAATAACAGCCATCCAAAAGTAATACACATAAAAGTTTAAAGATTATAAATGCAACCTGGGTTGTATAAGTAATCAATACATATTTTGATGAAGCTTATCTCTTTCTAACAAAAATAAAGTTGGGAGAATGTTGGGAGATAAAGGAAGAATGTATTTACAAGGTATATACGTATGTTATTTGCTACAAAGGCGTAAAATTGACACACAAATATTTGCTACCTGTCAAAAAGCGCCACTACCTCGTCTGTGTTTATAACGAATATATTTCACGGAGTTCTTCGGAATATTGACTCTTCTACTGTCTACGCGTGAATGTGAATGCTGAAGCACTTATGCAGAGTCTAAGGACTACTTGTTTGGGACAGATTTTGAGCGCTGGTGGTGTGTCTTGGACTTTTATTATCGTTGGTCTGAATTGTACATGCAACCTCTGGAGTTCCGTATGGCTGCATCTTAGTATTTCTTCTGCGTCTCTTAGTTATTTTCGACAAGTGGAGGCAGTCATTGACTCCGTGCCATGATATTGCCTAGGCTTTCCACATTGTATCTGTCTGGCACAAAAGCCTTCTCAAAACCAGACCGTATGCAGGAAGCTAAGCTTGTTCTTAGGTGTGTGGAAGTCCTGCGTCAACATAAAATTGATGGCTTTATGGATGGAAGTACTTCGCGGTTCATATCAGTAAATTCCGTTGTGCATCGGGGTACCTTCTTATCTCTTACACATTTTCTGTTGCATATTGATGATTTGAATGATTCTTGGGAATATTTATTGCTATGCAGTGCATACGGGATATTTCGGAAATGCAACAGCGGGACGGGTGAAATAAGGAGAAACAGACCTTATCATTGAGCTCAGAAGTTTTGGACCACATTTTCGAATAGTGTACTAAAACAATTGATAAGTTCAGCGCCTTCAAGGCAAAAACATCGCCTTTTTTCCCCTTTGTTCTTTTCCGATGCCATTCTTGTTACACTGGCGCTATAGAGCAATAGCATGATGCTCGGTATGAAAGTTTGTTGAAACTTAAATTCAAAGAACTACATCAAAAGCGTGATAAAAACAGCCTCACGACAACTAGGATGTCCTGAACTTGGTACGGCGTTTTTATCATTCCTGAGCAACTGTGCTTGTTGTACGCAGGGGCGGTTTACGAAAACGGGCGCCCTAGGCCTGACGAAATTAGCGCCCCCTCTCCCCTCTCCATAAAATAGTTGAAAAAGCACAGGCTAGAATAAATGATTTTTATACACTCCCGCTCAAAAGTATGGGTTCACGTCTCGAAATTTTCAGCTTCGGTATAAGTTCCATATCTTGGTGGAAAAAGGTCGTAAGAGAATTTAATGAGCACCGTTTTGAAGGGGACAGTTTTAGCTTCACTTTGCCATTTTTTATAATTTTTTACAATTTTTTTTATAGTCCCCACGCGCTTTTGAACATGGCAGTTTTTCGATGTTTTTTTGTCCTCTGGGAATGGGCTGTCTGGCTGTTAAAAAATTTTCCTTGCAATTTTATCCATCGCAGTTTGAAAGAGGATATTAAACACTGCATTTTCGTTTTTGAAAAAGTATCGTGCGATTTTTTTTACCAAAAATATTCTAATTTTTGACAAAAATTGATAATTTTATTCAATTCGGCGTATCTTGAAAACGGCGGGTGATCGAAGAAAATAGCAAGAGGGTGAAAAGTTGCAAAAGATCATGATGGACATGGTAGATTTATTTCAGAATTTTTTTCCGACATTTGTTTTTCCATACTCGTGGAGTCGAAATGATTTTAATTTTCCCATGATTCTTTCTTTTTTCTAAACGGCTGAGGCATTGCTTTTATTGGTTTCATCTTCATCTTGACGTAATTTGAACTAAAAATTAATTTTTTTAAATGAAAAAAACGTACAAAAAATTGTGCGAAATTTGATTTTTAGTAAAAATTACGTCAAGATGGTTATAAAACCAATAAAAGACCAAAAACTTATACCGAAGCTGAAAATTTCGAGAAGTGAACCCATACTTTTGAGCGGGAGTGTATTTCAAAAATAATTTAACGGAAACAGAATTTCAATCATACATATATTATGTAGGTTTGTGGGTAGGAATGGAGCACACATATATTTTATATTGGCGATATTGACGTTTGGGTGGACCCGATTAAAACGTTCGCTTTCTCGCTTTTAATCTTTCAAATTTATCGGCCCGTGGCGCCCCCTTCTGCCACGGCGCCCTAGGCTCGGGCCTAGCGGGCCTAGTGCATAAACCGCCCCTGGTTGTACAAGACGGCAATGCGGTCCTTCTTGGAATTTTGCGCACACCTCTGGCTCCTCAAGTATTTTCTCCTTTTAGATAGGTTGTAGCTGCACGCTACTCATGGATATGACTGATCTTAAAGGAGTCGCTGCTCTCCCGCGCTCTCTCGCACACAATTGGTCAGACTAGATCAGCCCACTAGGGCCCTAATATAACAAGAAAACGCCTCTTTGTTAGACCTTCTGTTCTCGATCCATTAACACGCTAACAGTTATTTACGCCCCTTTGTAATCATCGTATCATTGACTGATACCTACCAAAATTCCTGAACCAAGCCTCCGAAATTACTGGTGGTCAAATGGGCCATTATTTGTCAGCAAATTAAGACTGTATGCAAGGCTACATTATGCTTGCAGCCCTTGGAAACAATACTAATTCAGTTAGAAGGTGCCAATTTACCTGCACTATTATTATTATTACTGAGGAGATAGAAATGGGAATGGAATACTGCCTCTTGCATTGCCTGACTCACTGTAACTTGAGTGACATTAACTTGATATCTAATGAAATGATTGATTAATTCCTTCATATCATTCTAGCTAGCTTTACTAATTTCTTCCTTTTTATCCATATTCATAACAACATATTTGAAAGTAAAGAAAAACCTGGGTACCTGCCAAAGGAACCAAAGACCCAGTTCTTAAAAATAAATACTGGCTTTCAATGCGCTACTACTGATAGCCATGATGTTGCCATCATTGCAATAACAGATTTTATTTCATGTTATGGTACCTAGATCAGTATTTTTCAGGGAGGTGTGCCTCTCTGTTGTTTTATAGTGGGAGGTGATGATTTTAATGAGACTGTCTTATTTGCTTTCTCATACATTTTTTTCTATTATTTTATTCTATTATTTTTTTCTAGTTTTATAATGGTTTTCGGTTTAGAAAACTTTAGAATAAATCAAAGTAATAGAAAAAATGTAACAAACCTAACAATTATACCACACTTGACATGATATATTAGATACCATGTAAGCATAAGTAGGAATTGCATCATACATAAAAAGTACTTAATGAAAAAAAAACAAGCTTTCACCACTATACCAACTACATAGTTGAACTGTTTTACTAATGAAATATGTACTATAAAAAAAAAATTTGATGAAATATTAACTTTCTTAAAATTAAGATAATTATGACTACATATAGGTTCCTCTAAATTGGTATGTAAACTATTATTTTATTGCTTGTTACACTATCCTATTGTATGATATATTGAAAATTTAACTGTAATAAAAATAAAAAAAAAACAATAAATATGGGTACTTACATGCGCGACTTTCAGGGTTAGGAACATTTGCGATTTTTAATTCTTTTACCAGTTCTGTGTAAATGACGCTGTAAGAATTTATCACACCAAACAATAGACCATTCGTCAAAAACGACCCAATCATAACAGCATAAGCTTTAAATCCCCCATCGGGAGGATCACTTTTCTGAGTATTTCCCAAATTACCATTGGCTTCTCGTTTTTGATTGCTGGAAAGCAAATCAGTTGATTCTCTTGATCTTGGTTCCATTTTCTTTAGCAGATTAGATCTTCATTTAATTTATAATTTGCTTCTTCTTCCACGTGCTCAATAAATGTTCAACAAAAACCGATTATTCAATAAATTCACAAAAAAAGATTATTTTCTTAATTTGCTTCACTGCGTTAATACAATATTTATCTAATTTATATTACAGTTATTAGAAACATGAAAAATAAAAATATAAATGAAAAATAAAGGAGCGGAACAAAATAAAACAAATGCCCCTGCTTCTGTTTGACAGACTGAGAGGATGTCAAGGCGCAGTTTATTTATTTTTTTTTTTTTTTGGTTCTGTTCTTTCCGTTCATTAAACGGAAAAGGCAAAGACGACAAAATGCGCCATACAGCCAAGACCAAAAGTTCTTTTCTTCAAGTCTTCATAGAGAATCATTCGAAATCCAAGTTTAAATATCTTCTATAGTACTCTTGATGTAATTATACAGCGACAAATAACATTGTGGGTTTTGAAGAAGTACAGGTAAGGAACGCGGGATGTTCTCGGCTGAATTGTAGATTTCAAGCAAACTATTACTGAGAAATATTCGTTGAAGAGCAAAATGAGGGCATTCGAGGAACAAATGATTAAGTGACTGACTTGAGAATCTGCAGAACGAGCATGATGGGGAGGAGACCATGTTCATTCTGAATAAATGTTCGTTAAAGCGTCCATGTCCGAGTCGCAGTCTACATATTGTAGTGTAAAATTTTCGGTGTATAAAATTTCTCTGAGCAAACCACGGCTTTCTGATTGTGTTATTAATATTATGATACCAAACACCTTTAGTTTGTAAAGTTTCATGCCAATGATCTAACCATGTCTTCTTTATTTTGTCTTTTAGAAATTCTACACAATCAGAATCAGGAATCTTTATGTTTTTCACAGGGACATTTTCAGCCGTGTTAGTTATAATCTTTGCCAGTGTATCTACTTGTTCATTTCCGTAAACGCCTATATGTGATGGAGTCCAAAACAAAATGATGTCTTTTCCGTTTGTTGTTAGTTGACAATATTTTTCTCTGATCTCGTGTATAGTGTAATTGGATTTTGAAGAAAACGCTGGGTTTGATAAGGCTTGGAGTATACTCATGCTATCTGTTATTATGATCCATTTACTATGGTTAGATTTTGAAATATATTCTAAAGCTGCTAATATAGCCATTGCTTCCGCTGTATAAACGCTACTTTGACTTGGTAATTTCAAGCCATGGCCAATTTTTGTGTACAAATCATAAAACGCCATGGAAACATTTTTATTATTCTTCGATCCATCGGTGTACAACTGTCTATATTCAGCCCATACATTTAACTCGTTATAAACATCATATTTACAAGAAAGATCCCTATTTATTACTATATTTATTTCCTGAAATTTACTTTTATACACACCTTTATAACAAGGCAACCTATCACTAATATATACATTATTATCATCTATAACTCTCGAAATATTATTTACACCATTATGTAAAAAGGAATTGGTATTATATGCACTAATTTTTTTTCTAAGTAAACTATTTTCTATAGACATCACTTTTAATAAAAATTTACAATTGAGAAATTCAAAACGTATATGCAAAGGGGGCAAATTGCATTCTATTTGCATAGAATTTATTGGTGAGGTATTCATAGCACCTAAAATAATTCTTAGATTTTTATTTTGTATTTTTTCTAATCTATTTGTTAGTTTTTTGTCAGATGCAAAACAGAAAAAAGCATATTCGAAATGACTTCTGACTAAAGTTTTATACAACAGAAGCAAAATTTTAGGATCGGCGCCCCACTGGTAACCAACAAGGGATCTTAATACGTTGGTAGCCCTCATAGAACGGTCTATCAAGCAATCGACATAAGCTTTCCACGATAGGTTTTGTTGAAAAATAACCCCTAAAAATTTTGCTGATTTCAAAACGGGTAAAGTTTGACCGTTATAAAGTAATTTTAAGTTAGACACGTTTACAAATCTTTTCCTAAAAACAACCACATTACTTTTACTTATATTAACATCTAGGTTTAGGTACCTAAAATGGGAATACAATTGTGAAAGGGCATTGTTTAGTTTGGGTTCCAATGACGAAAGTTTAGAACCCTTTGCATAAATAACTAAGTCATCAGCGAACTGCAAATTCGAAATTGTAAAATCTCGCCCGAGTATTTCATTTAATCTATGAATATACAATATATACAATGAAGGGCTTAGAATTCCACCTTGACAAACTCCTTTGTGGGAAAGTCGAGGGCCATGTAAATTATTATTGATTTTTACGTAAACTTGTCGACCATTAAGAAAGTTGAATAACCATTTAACCATCTTATATGGAATACCTAATCTAAAAAGTGTGGTTGATAGTACAGACAAATTCACGTTATTAAAGGCACCAACAATGTCAAGGAATATACACACCATTATATTGTTGTCATTGAGTGCATTTTGTATGTCAGTATGAAGACATCCTATACTTTCGCGGGCAGATCGGCCACGTCTGAATCCAAACTGGTTATTTGGGAGTAAATTATTACTTTCTATATAAAATTCTAGACGGTGTTTCAATAATTGCTCGAATATTTTACCCATACAAGAAGATAAAGCTATAGGACGATATGAGTCAGCACAAGCCTTGGATTTATTTGGTTTAATTACAGGAATCAAACAATCTATCTTCCAGTTATCAGGAATTAAACTATTTTCCCAAAGGCCGTTAAATATGGCTAAGAGTTTTTTGATACTATTGCAGTCTAACTTTTTTAACATTTTGTAGGATATAAGATCTAGTCCACAAGCTGTATCTTTTCTAGATTTTATTGCAGCAGATAATTCAGACAAAGTGAAAGGTGAAGTTAGGTAATCATTCGTACTATTAGTGATATCGCAGGAATTAGAGTTCAATCGCAGATCTGAGGGAAAAGGTGCAACTTCTACAAAATCAGGTGTGTATTTTCGTAAAAAGTCGTTTACCCAAGATGGAATTTCGTCTTTGATTGGAGGAATAAAGCTCCGGTTAAATTTACGCATAGTTTGCCAAATTTTAGATAGAGGTGATGATCTATTTATATCAGAACAGAATTCCTTCCAACTAGTGGTCCTTTCTTTTTTTATAATATTTTTTTTAAGTGCTTGCATTTTTTTAAAGTTGACATAATTTTCCTGCGATGAGTTGTTTTTAAATTTAATATAAGCTTCCTTACTATTTTGTACTGCTTTATTGCAATTTTCATTCCACCAAGGGACAGCAAAATGTCTCCTTTTACGAGAATGGGGATAAGGAGAAACAAAACGTTTATCCCTATCTCCATTCTTAAAAACATCTGGATTGTCACTGTCACTGTCAACGTGAATTCTATGATTTTGTTTATTGAATTTAGGAACTGATTTATGTAAAGCTAATGTTATTTTATTAGAAAAACTATTGTAAGAAAATAAAGGACAAACAGAAAGACTTTTTAATGTTTCGTTTGCTAATTGCGTGTAATGTTCCCAATTGACTAAGCGAAAGTTAACATGAGAAGGGAGTTTACGCATTTCAAATTTTTGTGGTGTTGACGTAAGGTTTGTGGTTGAAGCCGTTGTAGGGTTTATACTAATATGAATATGAGTTAACGTAGGTAAGTGGTAACTTCCTAGAGGATCATCATTAACAAACCAGTCACAGTTCAATGCCATAACAGGACTCACCATTGTGAGATCTAAACCATTTGGTCTCCAAGTGTCAGTGCCAACAGTAGTTGCTTGTGCATCATTTAATAAGATCAAGTCACAATTCTCTAAACTATCTAATATATCTCTGCCTCGAGCATCCACTGTGTGGCAGCCCCAAATGGTATGGTGAGCATTGAAGTCACCGGCAATATATACTGGCTTAGGTAATTCATTAATGAGGTCAGTGAACTTACTTATGTTAAATCTAGGTGTGCTATTAATTGGACAATATATAGAGACAATAGTTAGTAGTTTATTGTTTATTTTAACTTGCACTGCTAGGTTTTGTATTGAATCATCAGAGTATGTAGTTAATCTATTATAACATATTGTATTGCTAATGATGATGGCAACTCCATTGTGTTTGTTGCCACAATCATTACGTTCCACTGTATAGCCTTTAATTTTAAAATGTATATGTGGTTTTAACCATGTCTCGGATATGACAGCTATATCAATATAGTTGTCATAAATAAACTTTGTAAGCAAATGCCGATTGCATGAAAGACTCTGCGCATTCCATTGCATCAACCTTAATTGAGTGAATTTTGATTAGATTTGCTTTTGTTGCAAAGAGTTTCAGTTAATACTTCTAATATATTTTTTGAGGAAATTGCTGTGCTTTTAGTCTTATTTAAAGTTATTAATTTAATTATTGTTTCCATGAGTATTTCCATTGATAGTGAATCTGAATTTAACATAGTTAATAAGTTTTGGGGATCATTGTGTTTAACATTAGTGTGTGTGGGCTTAATTTCAGGAAAATTGTTATTGTTAAATAAACTTGCAAATGTAGGTGGCTGATGTTTATCTCTGTTTTCTTTAATTTTCTTTTGTTTAACTGGGCATTGTGAGGAAATACTAATATGATTTCCATTACAGTGGGCACAAATGGCCTTTTCTTTAGGTACTGTACACTCTTTAAAGTTGTGATTATTGTTACAGATGGAACACTTTTCTGCATTTTTGCAAAACTTTGAAATGTGACCATACCTCAAACACCTGTAGCATTGTTTCACTGGTGGTAAATATGTTGTGATACTATGCCTCCATCCATCCAAATCGACGAAGTCTGGCAGATGAGAAGCAGCGAAAGTGATTGCAACTGTCTGTGTTGGCTGAAGGGAAAAACCAGAACCATCATTATACACCTTTTTAAAGAAACGTCTTACACTTACAATTTTTTTGAAGCTTGAGAGTAATGTAAAAATTTTCTTATTGCTATATTTAGTTGAGACGTTTCTTATTATTCCAGTGATTTCTGCTGCTGATGCTGGAATGATTGCTCTTAAATTATTGTCATTTAGAAAAGTTTTATTATTTAATAAAGCGTTGGCCAAATTTGGTTTTTCAAAATATACTCCAATTTTGTATTTATTAATTGAACGTAGATACTTTACTCCCTTTATATATCGTCTAAGGCAGTTTGACAGTGAAAGTAGATCCCTTGTTCCTATGGGTCTCTGAGTATCTGCCGACTCTACAAAGACCACATATTCTGAGTTCATTGAATCCTCCTGGTATTGGCGTGTATAGTCTGTGAC